TTAGGGCATTTCAAATAGCTGGAGGAATCACTGCAATTCTGCCAGTAATTTGAAAACACGGTGTGACAATGTGAAAATGTGAAAACACACAATTATGTATAGAGGTGCCATTCATTTTAATGACACCTGAAAATGCGGGGCATTTTTGCCTCAATTGCAGTGCATTTTTTCTGCACGACAAACAAAATCGCAGGGTGCGCAACACCTATAAATTTTTCCACTGAAATTAATGGCACCTCCAAACGTGATTGCACTTTTTCACATTGTCACACCGCATTTTAAGAATTGTGCCTGCAATTTGAAACATCATAATGTGAATGGAGCCTTAAAAAATTAAACAAGAAAATATAACAAAATTCACTCTCTTTGTTTGAGAAAGGTTAGTTTAAAAATAAATGGTGTTACTGTACAAAAAATGCACATTTTATTGTCCTGTTTAAAATGACACCAAAATTATGATTCTGGTACAAAGCATTGCAAAGTTATTTACAAATGAAGTAAAGTGGGTTTTGCTCTTTTTTAAATGTGATATGTGTAAATATATGGTAAAGGAGTAAAAATATATACAAACAATAACTTCTAGTTCAGTAACTAGTTTTTCCACTACTTCTTGCAGCTGAAAACCTAGAGCAATATTAAATTCCAGAAGTTAGCTTTTTCACCTAGTAACAATATTCATTGTAAGCTAAAATTACAAGCAAAACAAATCCCAGATGTTAAATAAGTCTAAACCACCCAGGGAAAGGAGAATAAGGAGTTAATTAGGGCTGATTCGAGTAAACTAAATGTTAATAAGGGGTTAAACAGAGGAACATTTAATTTATAAAAAAAAAATTTCTTTTTACTTGTCTGGCTGCTTTACCTGACTTCATCTACAGTTCATCCCTTTGATCTGTAGAGGAATAAACAGAAAGATACAAAATGAAACAATGTTTCTTTGTATGTTTCTGTATTCATGGTTGAGCAATGGTGTTGCTAAACATTGCCAGACTGCTTTCTCTGTGTTCTTGGCAATGCCGCTTTGATTAATCAGAGCTGAATTTCTGAGTACTGGGACAGCGGAGGTCCTGGCAGCATGGTAGAAGGAGTGGATGTGTTACGATGAGCCCTGTGTACGATGACAATTTTTGGGGCGTGTGTAACCAGAGCCTGCAACTAATTAAAGTTCATTACCTTGTTATAGGCAAGCCATAGATGATGCAATTTTCTTTCCTGCAACCCTTGTTGCTGGAACACGTTAATGGGGCAATCACTCCCTCAGCTCTATTGTGTTCTGCCAGCGGGGCTCTTCCCTGCCAACAAAACACAATAATCACTGCTGGCAACTATAGCCGCTGGCAGTGATCACATGCAAAAAAAACTGACAGGCTGGTTGTCCTGCTGAACATATCAAGATTCAATCCATCTAAGGCCAGCTTTAGTACTTATGGTTGTACAACAATGGACCACTTTAGTGATGTTATTGCATTATAATTTTGCTTCATGCATCAAACAGAGTAAAGTTTCAATTGCCAATGCCTGGAATATGTCCAGGTCTTACAATTAATTTTTTGTTACTAGGTGAAAAACTAGTTATTGCACAGTCCAGATTACAAAATCAGTCATTCAAAATATCCTATCATTAAGTGTCCATAGCAATGCCAAATAACACTCTGTTAGGCCTAAAGTTTTGAAAAGAATGGTTAAAATCTATATTAGGATTTTAATGCTGTCTACCTCTTTACAAGAGAGATTTACTCCCCTATTTTTCCTAAACAGGAATAGAAGGGAAGTCTTCCAACAGGGACACTTGTTCTGAGGACTTAACCTCTTCCTTCAGTGCTCTTGATAACCGTTGTGACCTTTGGGGGCTTTGTCCCTTTTATGTTCCTGCGATCGTCCTGGAGATACTGTTGATGACAAAGCACCTCACAACCTGCAGTCATTGAATTGTGAAAAAAAACCCACTTATAACGCCCCTGAAAAAAAGCGAATTCCTATGCATTGAGAGCAGACAACCAGTCCCCCACCTGTTCAGCTAACCATAAATACAATACATTTATCACAAGGCATTATTGCTTGATGTATAGAATTACAAAACTACTTCTAGTGGTTTACTGTAGCAAATTGTATTGGATAAGTAGGAATTGTTAATATGCTGCTACAGTGACTATTATCTCCCTTTCTTTTATTATACTCTGTTGATGATAGCTGTACTTTTTAAATGTCTTTAATAAAAAGCTGATTTTTTTAACACATTATTTGCATTCATTGGCACACCTAAACATTCACCATTTCCTCCTGCCGAGGATCATGAGGCCTATATCCTGGATGCTGTACCTTATTACATTAGTCTTCTCCTGTGAGTCCATCCAGTTCAACCAACAGAATGGGCAAAAAAAAATATACAATCTTCTATACACAATCCTATACCCACAGTTGATCCAGAGGAAGGCAAAAAAAAAACAATAAAGCATAATCCAACTCCAGTAGGGTTAAAAATAGTTATATTATGTGTATCTAGATAAGAATCCAGGCCTTTTATTGAACAATCTACCGAGCTGTTCAGAACAAACTCTTGAGGGAGTCTATTCCACATTTTCACAGCTCCTACTGTGAAGAAACCTTTCTATATTTGAAGGTTAAATTTCTTTTCCTCCAGATGTAAAAAGTGCCCCCCGTCCTCTGTGATGACCTTAAAGTGAATAATTCAACACTTCACTATGTGGACCACTTATGTATTTCTACATGTTGATCATATTCTCCCTTAGCCACTTTCGGGCCACCCAACTGCAATATACTGTGGACGGGCGTCAGCAACAGGACCAGCAGCGTACCCATATATCGCTGGTCTTTTGCCAACACAAGGAGGCACCACACACCCAACCCTCCCCCCCACGAATGAGAATCCTGGTAATCGGGACCTGATGTGCAATCACATGATCACGACAACAAAGCTTTTATGAATCAATCTAATTCATAAAAGCTTTGCTTCTATTCCTGGAGAGATGTGATTGGTCCACAGCTCCCACAAGGCACATGGGGCCACTCTGTACCATGTGACCAGCTGGAGCCAGTCACACATTAATATTATATGAAACTGTCATGAACTTAACCCATTCATAATAGTTCAAAGCGAGCAATAATCTTGTCCATGCAATGCAAAGTGTAATTTAAAAAAATCCCTGATCACCCCCCCCAACAAAGTAGTACAATGTTACTATGGTAACATTGTACTACTCTGATGACAGTATTTTTTTTTAACATAGTAAAAAAAAAAAAATTATGTTTTAAAAAATTAATGAGAGAATTCTTTTTAAACTATTTGCTGCCCGCCCACCAACAATGTGCAGGAGAGGGGCAGCTCTGGGCAAAGCAACGTAATCTTACGTCTTTTTCTATTTCTGAGTGAGCATGCGCATGAGTTAAAGCACTACATTTTACACACACATATTAGATTAGCACATTCAGCCTTTTGATCGCCCCTATAAACCCTTTGATCACCCCGTCACCCAGCCAGTGCCATTAGTACAGTGTCAGTATATAAGATTTTTCACTGATCACTGTATTCCTGCCACTAGCGACATCAGATAATGTCATGGTCAGTTAGCACCCCTCCGAGCCAGGGTCAGCTAGTGTTAGATTGCCTGCACACTCACACTATAGGTCGCTGATCACCGCCATTACTAGTATAGTGTTTACACGTATCAATATATTGATCAGAACTATAATAGTCCCTGCTTTGTATAGTATACTAGTCCCTGTTTTGTATTTATAACAGAAACAAAGAAAAACATGTGTTTTTTTCAAAATTTTTGGTCTTTTTTTGTTAATTTAGCAAAAAATAAAAACCCCAGTGGTGATTAAATACCACCAAAAGAAAGCTCTAGTTGTGTGAAGAAAATGATAAAATTTTAGTTTGGGTACAATGTTGTATGACCGGGCAATTGTCATTCAAAGTGTGAGAGCGCTGAAACCTGAAAACTGGCCTGGGCAGGAAGGTGTAAAATTGCCCGGTATTGAATTGGTTAAAGGGGATGAGAGGTTATTTAACCTCAGTTTTAATCAGCTACCAGGTGACACCTATCTCACAGGGTGACACCAAAAAGTTTTAAAACAAGCCGACGATCCCCGCAAGATGGATCGGATCTGCGTTAACACGTGATGTCACCCCTCAAGAGGTGGGCGGTCCCTGTCGTGCACACACAGCCTGGCTCTTCCCCTCCCTGTATCCCCGTCATACCCCCCAGACCAGTGTTGCAAGATCAGGTTGCAAGCCGACGATCCCCACAAGATGGATCTGATCTGCAAATCAGGGAGCATAATGGATCGGAGTCCATGCCAAACCAAAATAAGAGGCACGGAGGAGCTCAGCTATGAGGAAAGATTAGAGAAACTGAATATATTCTCTCTTGAGAAGAGGAGATTAAGGGGGGATATGATCAACATGTATAAATACATCAGTGGTTCATAGAGTGAACTCGGTGTAGAGCTATTCACCCTGAGGTCATCACAGAGGACAAGGGGGCACTCTTTACGTCTGGAGGAAAAGAAATGTAATCTCCAAACACAGAAAGGTTTCTTCACAGTGAGAGATGTGAAAATGTGGAATAGACTTCCTCAAGAGTTGGTTCTGGCCAGCTCAGTGGATTGCTTTAAAAAAAGGCCTGGATTCTTTCCTAGATACACAGAATATAACTGGATACTAACATTTATAGGTAAAGTTGATCCAGGGAATATCCGATTGCCTCCCGGGGGATCAGGAAGAAATTGTTTTTCCTGCTGCAGGATCAAATTGGCTCGTGCTTTGCTGGTTTTTTTGCCTTCCTCTGGATCAACTGTGGGTATAGGATAACTTTTTTTTTTTAATGGTTGAACTGTATAGACTTTTGTCTTTTTTCAGCCAGACTGACTATGTAACTATGTCAGCAGGGTAGAGTACAGTGGTCAGCATTACAGACTACAGGTATCAGCAGTTGAGGAAAGTGGAAAGACAGCGCTGAACTCGCAGGTACACGCCACTCAGTGGCGTCTCGAGGCAGGTGTGGGATGTGCGGTCCGCACCAGGTGACACCGACCGCATGAGGTGACACCGGACCCGCTCCACAAAAAGGTAAGTTGTTAAGCAAGCCGACGACCCTGCAGGATGGATCCATCGGCTTTCTTTACAACTTACCTTTTCTTGGAGTGGGTCCGGTGTCACCCCGTATAGGTTGCATGCCGACGATCCTGTGGGGTGACACTGGTGTATCAGCAAGATGTGTCTCCCATGTCCGATCCATTATGCTCAATCCGCAGATCCGATCCATTCTGGAGGGAGCGTCGGAGGGGGTGTCACCAAGTGTTACTGCACCGGGTGACACCAACCCTAGGGACGCCTCTGACTCCACTGATATTGTTATCTTAAGATATTAATGTTGGTTTAAATGATCTGGTTCCTGGGCAGCTTTTACACCCCCAAGGATCTCCACAGCCTCCCTGGCTTATAGTATACTGTAAGAAGAGTTGAAATTGAACTACCATACAAGCTGCTGATTAGGCCTTTGCTTCTAATTCACAATAAATACCATTGTAGGTCCAGTTCACTTCTGGTCTGTTCACTTTATTGCCAGTCAAGCCCTAAAGAAGGGGGCACTGGGACCCCGAAACGCATTGGCTACTTCTCAAATTATACCCCTGACATTTAATGGAATAAAGTTGCATCTGGATCTCTTAACAGTGATGTGGCACTTCAATTTCAAGTCTTCTTACAGGTATTAGCAGGGCAGTGCACAGCGGTCAGCAGAGCAGTATACAGGGGTAAGTAGGACAGAGTTCAGCGATCAGCAGAGCAGACTACAGGGATCAGCAGGGCAGACTACAGGGGTCAGCATGGCAGAATGCAGGGGTCAGCAGGGTGAACTACAGGCATTAGTAGAGCAGACTACAGGGATCAGCAGGGCAGTATACTGTGATCAGCAGGGTAGTGCACAGGGGTCAGCAGAGTGAATTTCAGGGGTGAGCAAGGCAGAGTACAGGGATCAGCAGGGCAAACCACAGGGGTCAGCAGATTAAGCTGCAGGGGTCAGCAGAGTGAACTACAGGGGTTAGCAGGGCAGAGTACAGGTGCTATCAGGGTAGTATATAAGGCATCTGTGACAGGAGTGACTTTTGGGGGTGGGGGGGACCTCTGTATCATCTTCCCAAATTCCCATTATGTTTAAGGCACCCTGTGCCTGTTAAGAGGTACAGGGTGTGTATGTGAATGTCCCAGTCTTGTGTATAGTGTGTGTTCCTTTGTTCTCAGCCACATGGCTGTCCATTGTTTGTTTGCCATGTGCTACCCCCCATTGTGCTGTGTCTTCCTGTCCAGCCAACTATTATGGGATGTACTGTTTGTGTATTGGTGTGGGGGTTGGTCAATGTCCTTTGCCATGTGCTTCATCGCATTGTTCTGTGTCTTGGTGGGATGGGGAGGGGTGATGATGTATTTCCTGTTCCTGGTTGTGTTTCCCCGCCATCTGTATATATCCTGTGTTTTGTGTTAAAATAAAAAGAGTTGGCTTCCTGTTTAAGAAGAGCTGGGTGCTGTCTGTTTCCTGAGGGATTTCAAGGGTGTGGTCCGTGGATGGTGTTCGGACAGGGGAAGCTTTGGTATAACGGAAAAACTCAGTGCGGTCTGGGTTCCGGTTCCGTTACATTGGTGGCAAGCGGTGGGATTGTGCTTCCAACCTGTAAACACATCCAAACCATCACCGGGATCCAAGAGCAGGAGAAGAGAGACAGATACCACCCGCAGCTATGGAAACAGAGGTCTTGTGGCGGATGCAGCAAGTGCTGGCTTATTTAGATGAACCGGTTTCTACATGGGAAGAGCATGGATGGAGAAATACGTATGTCCAACAGCTGGATGAGGGTATGGAAGATGGAGAAGTTGGCTCATCCCTCCAATTACAGATCCCAGAATGCATGGATCTAATTGATTTTTCAATGGAGGACGTTGTGGGTGATGAGTCACCTGCCAAAGTGCTGGCACTGGACCCCAGGGCCACCAGCCCGTGCCCTGGACATTTAGCCATTCCAGAGACTGGGGATTGTACTAACTTTTTTACTGAGGAGGAACCAGCCGGGGGGCCGCCAGCTGAAGCACTGACAACCGGACAGAGGGTCCAGGACCTCTGCCCCACACCTGTGGTAGTTTCAGAGGCCCAGGGTGAGAAGGGAGAGGAGGTTGTTGTCCTCCCTCCCCCACAGTCAGCCAAAGTGGAGGAAACTCTTTTCCCTCCCAAGCCAGGATCTGTGCACCAGGGGGACAGTGACAGAGGAATGCCATCCCAGCAGCAGATCCACAGTCTGGGAGTGGAGGAAGGCAGCCTCCCTCCCCCACGGTTAGCCAGAGCAGATGTGGGGTCCCCAGCAGAAGAGCTGGCAACAGGACAGAGCGCCGCTGGCCTCTGCCTAGCAACTACAGCCACCACCTGAATACCCCAGGAATGCTGGGCAGGCGGCCCAGATCCCCCACAGAAGGATGAAGGCAGCCCAGCCACCCTGTCTTCTCTCCAGCGGCTGAGAGGATTTCCGGGAGAAGGACCAGTCCGTACTTCTCCCCAGCGGCGGGTATGTTCTACGGGAGAGGCAGAGGTTGGCTGCGTGAGTAACGCTTGGTGTGGGACAATTTGCATGGGGTACTGTGTGGGTGTTGGCATTGAGGGACTGAAAGTACCGACTAACTTCAGAGTACATCCGTCTGGGATCTACTCCTGTGTTAGTCTCCTGCCGAAAGGGGAGATATGTGACGGGAGTGACTTTTGGGGGTGGGGGGACCTCTGTATCATCTTCCCAAATTCCCATTATGTTTAAGGCACCCTGTGCCTGTTAAGGGGTACATGGTGTGTATGTGAATGTCCCAGTCTTGTGTATAGTGTGTGTTCCTTTGTTCTCGGTCACATGGTTGTCCATTGTCTGTTTCCCATGTGCTACCCCCCATTGTGCTGTGTCTTCCTGTCCAGCCAACTATTATGGGATGTACTGTTTGTGTATTGGTGTGGGGGTTGGTCAATGTCCTTTGGCTTGTGCTTCATCCCATTGTTCTGTGTCTTGGTGGGATGGGGAGGGGTGATGATGTATTTCCTGTTCCTGGTTGTGTTTCCCCGCCCTCTGTATAAAACATGTTGTTTGTGTAAAATAAAGTTGAGTTGGCTTCGTGTATTAAGAAGAGCTGGGTGCTGTCTTTTTCCTGAGGGATTTCAAGGGTGTGGTCCGTGGATGGTGTTCGGACAGGGGAAGCTGCGGTATAACGGAATATACCCAAGTGTGGTCGGGTTCCGGTTCCATTACAGCATCAGTAGGACAGTGTACAGGAGTCAGCAGGGCAGACTACAGGGGTGTGCAATGCAGTATACAGGGATCAGCAGGGCAGAGCGCAGGGGTCAGCAGTGTACATGGTTTAGCATGACATTGAAGGGGTCTGCAGGGAAAACTAGAGGGTTCAGCAAGGTAGTGTACAAGAGCCAGTGGGGCTGTGTACATGGGTCAGATGGGCAAAGTACAGGGGTCAGCAGGCTGCCCCTAGCTAGCAAACTAGGGTCAGCATGGAAGTGTACAATGGTGAGCATGGCAGAGCACAGGGGGCAGCAGGGAAGAGTAATGGGGTCAACAAAGTACAGGGGTCAACAGGGAGGACTACCAAGGTTAGCAGTGCAGTGTATGGGGTTTAGCAGGGTAGAGTACATAAAGCAGCAGGGAAGACTAAAAGGGTCAACAGGGCAAAGTGCAAGGGTCATAAGGGCAAACCACAGAGGTCAGTAGTCCATAGGGCAGACGCGGCTTCCTCCACATGCAGAGTAACGCAGGGAAGCGGCAATTACACATTTCAATCTGTTCTGGCATGCTGATCTCCACTGGCCATCCTTTCTTGTCCATCCCATTTGATGGCACATATAAGCACTTGGGATGGACTAGAGAGGAGGGCCACAGGCATCATGTTGCTTCCCTGCATTTTTCTGCATATGGGGGAGAAGCATTTCAGGTGGAGAGTTGTCAAGGCAAGGAAGCAATCTACCTAGGGGTGGACTGACAACTCATGAGGCCCCCGGGCAATAGGGGATCATGTGGCCCCTGTGTCCTTCCCAAACTCAAAAAAGCCTATGAAAAAGGTACCAGGGGCATCTCATGGGGCCCCCTACTGACCCCGGCCCTTGGGTAGTGCCTGAGTTTCCAAATGGTCAGTCCGTAATCTACCCATCATCTGCACACAAACGAACAGTAAATCATGATCAACGGGTTGCCGACCCACAAACTGCATGAGTCAATGATCAAAAAAGATCTGGATTCTCTGGTTGATCAAAGATTGAACAGCTAATTGAACTTTCAGTTTAATTTAGCTAAATAAATACAAAAAATCAGTAGAAAAACCTATGTCCTGCCAGTTTGCTGCAGAATGGAATTCTTGTGCTCTGTTGGAAAGCAATGATCTCTCTGACATACCCCCCTTCTGAGTCTTTCCTTTGTTGTCAGCCAGATTGGCTCCTTTTCTCCTCCCTCTCACCACTGATGGCTTTGCTCATCATTCCATGCCACCTTCCTTCTTGCCACTCGACAAGTGAAAGTGCCACTAGCCCCCCTTCATCTTCCAAGGATCTGCTGCAAGTATGCAAAGCACAGAAAAACAATCACCTCCAGTGCTACAATGTCAGTGCTCCTCTCTGTTGTTGCTTCCACCTTCAACCAGTCTTCTTCCAGGGAGTCTTTGAGCTAGCCAAGATGATGTAAATTTTGCACATGCAAATAAGAGTTACTTTGTCCTGACACAGAATCATGCAGAGACTGTACAATGAGCTGCACGGCTCGGTGTACAGAAACAGAAAAAAAGTGCTGACAAGCAGGTAGAAGCATCTATGACAGAAGGCATACAGACAGTGGTGTATTTAGGTTTTGCGCTGCCCTAAGCAATGCAAGAATCGGACCCCCTCCCCCTTGCAGAGAGAGCCTAACATTGACCAATAACACCCCTACTCCCCCCCACCCGAGAGACACTTCCACTAACACACATTCCCCCCACCGGGAGAGAAAGTCACTCACCTTCACAGCTCCAAATGAGGTAATGGAGTGTTGCAAACAGCTCAAAGAACAGATATTCAGCAACAAGTAAATGCTGTGCTTTGAGCGCCCCAAACTTAAAAAGGACCCATTTATGTCAAATGAAAATATAAAACAAAAAAAACAAAAGAAAAATGGCCCCCAAAATACCAACTCTGAAAATAAAAAAACTTTTTATAAAAACAGTTTAACCCATCCCCAGGTTCTATCAACACAGAATATTAAACAATATAGCTCACAAATGAATGGTAACCCCAAAATACAAACCACTGATTCAAAAGCTCATTTTTTAAAG